CAGATGGTGGAGTTACCTGTGTGACACACCTGAGAGACGTCAGGGTGACGAAGATCATCTGAACGTACCATTAAACTTACAAAGGATTGTGGGATACCGTGGAGTCACACCCAGGTGTTTCACCTGATGACATCACAGCCAGTGTCATGTGATTGATCCATACTATCAATAAACTAATTTGTCTTTGTTGATACTGTAAAGTGATGATGGTGATGATGATGATGATGGTGATGATGGTGATGATGATGGTGATGGTGATGATGATGATGATGATGATGATGGTGATGATGGTGATGGTGATGATGGTGATGATGATGATGATGATGATGGTGATGATGGTGATGGTGATGATGGTGATGATGATGATGATGATGGTGATGGTGATGATGGTGATGATGATGATGATGATGGTGATGGTGATGATGGTGATGATGGTGATGACGCCGCTGACTGAACGAGGAAATAAAAGCTGATTTGGAACTGACAGCTGTTTTATTGATCAGTGATGAACGCACACATCAGATTATCAATATGAATATTGATTAAAGATCAGATGCTTCAGTGAGGAAACAGCAGCTTCTTTATTGAGCCATAAACCTCAGGAAATAAAAACAATCAATCAACAGAAACATCAGTGTCACTGTACGGAGGCTGCAGAGGGCCAAATCAACACCTTCACTTATTAACCACAAATATCAAACAGTTTTTATTGATTATGGATTGATTAAGGTGAAATGTCCCAGGTGAGCTGACATCATGTGACACAGTTATTCTTCATATCACCAGCTTCAGAAAATAAAAATATGCAAATCAGGCAGAATCTCATTAAATATTCAGATTTTCAGACGTTTCTTAAACAGAAATCTGATTGTTGGATGAAATCAGGTTCAAATTTCTGATTTCGTTTTGTTGCCAAATCTGAGTCAAAGATTTTTACTGAGAGACTTCAGGATGTTTTAATCAGAAAACACTGTCCACAGATTTATGTTAAAAAAATGATGTTTAAAGTTACAAACTGTTTTATGAATCGGGCTGTGAATGAAAAACAAACCTTCAGGATACAGACATGATGTCAACCTGGACAGTCTGGAGGAAGTGATGTCACAGCTGCTGCGGTGGAGATTATGAGTAAAAAACGTGGAGAGTAAAACTGATTATTCATGGAGCAAAAATGAAACCCTACCTGACACCATGCCACACTGAATCACTCACATTCAGACAGTTATCTTTCGTATCGTAAGTTTTCTGAAGCGCTGGCTTTAAATATGCAGATGATGTGACTGAATACTGACTTCTTGCATTTCTGAGCTCAGATGAATACAAATCTTTCACGTGAGGCATCTCCTCTGTCACAAACTTTCTGAGTTATCTGGCACGTTCAGCCACATGTCAAGGCCACGTGACATTTCCAGGAGTTCAAAACTATTCCAGGAATTTTCAAGACTATAAAAAAATCCCACCTGACGTTTAACAAACATCAGATTCAAACTCTGACAAGACGCGGGGAGGAAATGAAGACCCATACGTGATGGTGAACTGGAATCACCACATAAATAAGTCACAGTAACGCCAGGTCCAGACCGCACGCCATGTTTGTCTGCTCCTACAGGCTCTGTGTCAGATCAGGTGACTGAAGTCATAAAATCTGTCTGTGACTTGGCCGACAGACATGACGGACTACATGTTTGTCATCAGATTATTCTCGTCCTATTATTATTATTATTATTATTATTATTATTACTAACTCAGTCTCTGTGTCTGTTCATGTTCCAGCTGAACTGTGACTGTAGTGACATAAAAGCTGTCACCAGATGGGCGGAGCTACATTTGAAGTACTGCATGAAAACTATGGGTGCGTCCCAAGTCTCTTATTTTTATAGTGCTACTGCTAGCTCCTCGCTTGAACCGGAAGTCGTTCGAGGTCCGCCATCTTCTAGGCTGTCCCAAGTCTCTTATTTGTGCAGCGAGGAGCTAGCGCTAGGAGCTAGCAGCAAGCTTTAAGCAGCTACGAGCTAGGATGGTCGAGAGGTTCCTAACAGGAAGTCTTTTTCAGCTTGAGGCCATGACGTATAAATACCCGCCCCCTACATCTGTGTCATTTGAACGAGATGGCGGAGAAACAGCGCAAGTGTACCCGTTACATGCATTCTTTGCAATGAAACGCTGTAATTCACATGCCTACGTGACTACAAAGAGTAACGTTGATGATATTTCGTGCAAGACTGTCATGTTGTAATTAAGTTTATTTCATTCACAATCCGTTGCGTTGTTCAGCGGACTGTCTGTGATGTGTGGCTGTTAAATGTGCAGCTGCTCATGTCCAGAACCACACACACACACACACACACACACACACACACACACATTTGCCCATCATTAATTGTCCTGCATGTCATGTGAGTGGAATAATGTTTAATAGCTTGTAGGTGATATTAATTATTAATATTAATATTAATTAATATTATTACTTTCATGTTGTTGTAAGCTACTGTCATTACCGTCTGTCCTGCATCTCTCTCTGTCTCACTGTATCATACAGATTACTGTTAATTTATTATGTTGATCTGTTCTGTACGACATCTATTGCACGTCTGTCCGTCCTGGAAGAGGGATCCCTCCTCAGTTGCTCTTCCTGAGCTTTCTACCGTTTTTTTTCCCCATTAAAGGGTTTTTTTGGGGAGTTTTTCCTGATCAGCTGTGAGGGTCATAAGGACAGAGGGATGTCGTATGCTGTAAAGCCCTGTGAGGCAAATTGTGATTTGTGATATTGGGCTTTATAAATAAAATTGAATTGATTGAGGCAGACTGACAGGTCTGATGTCGTCACTCAGCAGCTGACTTGTTGAATGATGGCGAGTGGATTTAATAATAGTGATAATAATAATGATAATGATGCTCATCACAGTGACAGTGGCAGGGCTACAGACCGTTCTGTAATTGTGACAAACTTCAGCAAATGTCTCAATAACAATGGTAATACATGCAAAAGTGTGTGACCAAAGTCATGATGGTGGTGGGGGGTTACGGCTTTGATCAGCGAATATAATGGGACTTGGGATGTACGCCAAACGCTGGCTCCGTTATGCAGCAGATCCAGTTGTGCCGCCGTCATCAGGAATGGACGTCGCTTCATGTGACGCTTCAGTGGAAAGGACGTCTCATGTCTCTTAAACCGACAATGCTCGCTCATCGCTCCTAGCGCTAGCTCCTTGCATTTTTTCCTAGGTGGGAGGGGCTAAACAGCTAGCAAAGTCGGCTAGCAGTAGCACTAGCAGTAATTTAAGAGACTTGGGACGGACCCCATAACAGTCACTGAATCCTCCACAGGAAGTTCCTGCAAATGTGTCACAATAAAAGCCTTTTTATAAAATGAAGGGATTCTCTCAGCTTTTAATTTGAAACAGAAACAGGAAGTGTTGAGTGTGAGAATGATAAATGGTGTCGTGTGTTTGAGGGGAACTGCCCATTGGTCCGACCATATTAAACCCATTGTTCAGAAATCATCATGATGCCCTGTGGTTAAGGTCTGGTTAGGTTTAGACACAAAAACCACTTGGTTAGGGTCAGGAAAAGATCATGGTGTGGGTTAAAATGAAAAAGAAAGTGACACACATAAGCCGTGAGCCTGCTCCACCACAAGCCTTTCCCAGCTGACCCAGAGCCGGTCGCGGCGCACCATCAAGGCAGAAATACGCCTGCCGGGAGCCGTTCAGCACCGCGGACCGTCTGACCAATGGGCTGTTGGACCAATGACATGGACCCATGTTTGAGATGCAGCTGGTAGCCTCTGCAGCTGTGCTGAGTAAAGGCCCAGACACTTTCTGTGATTTTTATTCCTTTATATCCTCCATTATGAAGAAAGAACATTCTTTGCTAGCTTGATGCTAATGGCAGTACTCAGCGGGTTGATAAAGTGCCTCTGCTGTTTCCTTTTTACTCTGTGTGCTAACGTCCCTACAGGAAATATCTAAAAGGCTGGGCTGTTGTTGTCCTACAGTTTCCATGGCAACAGTTCGCTCTGTGTTCCTATTGGTCAAAGTGACGGCTGTGACGGGAGAAGTCGTGGAGGACAAAAAGAAAATCAAACATGCTAGACTTTCTGTTTGGACGTCATGAGGCGCCCCAGACGTGGTGTCACTTGTTGTCTGCTATGACACACCACCAGATGAAACCATGGATTATTGTTCATGATCCAGCCGACACCGTACGACACTGTGTCAGGCTGTAATTGTGCAGTCTGAACCTGAAATTACAGTTTCCATCCATGTCAGTGAAAACATGGATGCTTCACACACAGAAGATCTATACAATCAGCACAGTTTCAAGATTAGAGTCACCAATTCAGTATCTGACCAAATGTCTCCCCTTCTGTTCCTGAGATATGACGTTAAAACATGATGATGTCACAGTCAAGCTGACCTTTGACCACAAAATTCTCATCAGTTTATTCTTCAGTCTGAGTGGATGTTTGTGCCAAATCTGAAAAAAAAAAAATTAAAAAATACCTCAAGTTATTCTTGAGATATCCCGTTCACAAGGACGGGACGTATGGACGGACAGACTACCTGAAATATAATTCCTCTGCTCTTAGATTTCAGCGGTGGAGATGGATAAAAACACGCCACACATGTCAGAGCTGCGTTACGTCATCAGCTACAAAAAAATTAATCTGCTGTGTTGTTACATCACATGGACGATTCTCCACCAAAAGATTTCACTACAACTAAAGTCCAAAACTTTCAGGGATTTTTACTAACTCGATGACTTTCCAGGTTTTCCCTGACTGTGGGAACTCTGTGTCGAGTGTGTCTCTGCAGCCTCCGATAAACATCACGCCTGATTGGAATTAACATTTGTTCTCACTCAAGGATGTTTCCTCAGGCGCCGCCATCAGACTGACAGGAAGTAACCTTTACCATGCTGATCTTTAGTTTCACTCTGTGTTCAGGACACTGAAACCTTGGTGACATGACAGGAAATGAGGGTCTGATGACATCAGCATCAGGACAGAGTTTTAATACTGCCACACGGATCAGCACAGTTTCCATCAGCTGCGTCTCATCTTATTATGGTCTGTCAGAGACGTGGACATTCAGCAGGACAAAGACATAAGCCTCCACGGCGGGGCGCCGCAGAACTCCTTCTCTCTGATGTACGTCCATAACGAAACAAGAATCCAGTGACAGTGTGATCGTTGATCTGATCGTCAGTCAGCTCACTGAGACGACACGTCATCAATCTGACATCACACCTGGCGCCCTTTGTCTCCTGTCATCACTGTTAGCATCTTAACATCTATCAGAGCACCAACCACATTTATCACTTCCTCCATTGTCATAATAAAGGCCTTTACACAGCCGGGGGCGTGGCCAATAAACAACGCCGAAAGGCAAAATACTCGCCTGCGAATGTTTTGTTTCTAAACTCTTCAGCTCGCTGCTCCAGGCAGACAATGCCAATGTTACAGCGCAGTGTTTGTTGGTTGATTTGGGGACAGTCACGTGTCTGATAGCTCACTCATCCTGTTGTTAAACATCCCGCCAAATGATACTTCCTGTTTGTTATGAACTTTGACTCTTGCTAACATGACTTTAGCTCTGTGGCTAACAGCTGGGCCAAATGGTTCTACGAGCTGACGATCTACAGATAACTTCCGTTACACGTTGTATCTGAGGTTTGTCCTATTCACTGGACCGTTGAACAATGTTTCCATTGCATAAGAACCTCACAGGGTGTAATGACTGTTCCAGGTATTAGTCAGACCCTCAGGTGTTAGTGGGGAAACCGAATTATGGCTTAATTACAAAAAGCATGAAAATATAACTGAATATAACTTTTATTTCTTTGGAAAGTGGGCGTGGTTTAAGACGGACAACTCTGAGGTGTCCATCATCAGAACTGAACGGACTCTGTGAGCATGTCTTATATAATAGTGTAAATGGAAACGATAGAGGATCCAGACCTGAGCCCTGAGGAACCCCACAAGTGATAACTGACAGTGTTAACGGGATGATCATGTGTCAGCAGCTGTCCGCTAACATTTTAGCATAAGCTCTGTTGTGTTTAAACACCCTTCCTCTGTTGGACAGTTTCCGCCTCCACGTCGGACATTAACCCCTGACTACAGACACCTCCGAGGACATTAACCCCTGACTACAGACACCTCCGAGGACATTAACTCCTGACTACAGACACCTCCGAGGACATTAACTCCTGACTACAGACACCTCCGAGGACATTAACTCCTGATCACAGACACTTCGGAGGACATTAACTCCTGACTACAGACACCTCCGAGGACATTAACCCCTAACTACAGACACCTCCGGGGACATTAACCCCTAACTACAGACACCTCGGAGGACATTAACCCCTAACTACAGACACCTCCGAGGACATTAACCCCTGACTACAGACACCTCCGAGGACATTAACTCCTGACTACAGACACCTCCGAGGACATTAACTCCTGATCACAGACACCTCCGAGGACATTAACCCCTAACTACAGACACCTCCGAGGACATTAACCCCTGACTACAGACACCTCCGAGGACATTAACTCCTGACTACAGACACCTCCGAGGACATTAACTCCTGACTACAGACACCTCCGAGGACATTAACTCCTGACTACAGACACCTCCGAGGACATTAACTCCTGACTACAGACACCTCCGAGGACATTAACTCCTGACTACAGACACCTCCGAGGACATTAACTCCTGACTACAGACACCTCCGAGGACATTAACTCCTGACTACAGACACCTCCGAGGACATTAACTCCTGACTACAGACACCTCCGAGGACATTAACTCCTGACTACAGACACCTCCGAGGACATTAACTCCTGACTACAGACACCTCCGAGGACATTAACTCCTGACTACAGACACCTCCGAGGACATTAACTCCTGACTACAGACACCTCCGAGGACATTAACTCCTGACTACAGACACCTCCGAGGACATTAACTCCTGACTACAGACACCTCCGAGGACATTAACTCCTGACTACAGACACCTCCGAGGACATTAACTCCTGACTACAGACACCTCCGAGGACATTAACTCCTGACTACAGACACCTCCGAGGACATTAACTCCTGACTACAGACACCTCCGAGGACATTAACTCCTGACTACAGACACCTCCGAGGACATTAACTCCTGACTACAGACACCTCCGAGGACATTAACTCCTGACTACAGACACCTCCGAGGACATTAACTCCTGACTACAGACACCTCCGAGGACATTAACTCCTGACTACAGACACCTCCGAGGACATTAACTCCTGACTACAGACACCTCCGAGGACATTAACTCCTGACTACAGACACCTCCGAGGACATTAACTCCTGACTACAGACACCTCCGAGGACATTAACTCCTGACTACAGACACCTCCGAGGACATTAACTCCTGACTACAGACACCTCCGAGGACATTAACTCCTGACTACAGACACCTCCGAGGACATTAACTCCTGACTACAGACACCTCCGAGGACATTAACTCCTGACTACAGACACCTCCGAGGACATTAACTCCTGACTACAGACACCTCCGAGGACATTAACTCCTGACTACAGACACCTCGGAGGACATTAACTCCTGACTACAGACACCTCGGAGGACATTAACTCCTGACTACAGACACCTCGGAGGACATTAACTCCTGACTACAGACACCTCCGAGGACATTAACTCCTGACTACAGACACCTCGGAGGACATTAACTCCTGACTACAGACACCTCAGAGGACATTAACTTGTGAAACGGTGATGTGTGAGCATCAGTGTGAACGAGCGTCAGTGTGAACGAGCGTCAGTGTGAACGAGCGTCCCCGCTGTGTGAAGGCCTGATGAACACTGCTCACACTGAACTGATGAAACGCAGCAGAAGGAAACACTCAGACGTACCCTTCAAAATAAAAGCTGACAGGAGGAGCGGGGGAGAGGGTCTCTGATCAATAAGCACTTGTCTTGTTTCAAGTCAGCAGCTTTGTTCTGAGAGGAAATGACTTCCTGTTTTGGTCCTTTCAGTATAAAATCAATATTCAACATTAATCAGTCAACACGCTCGCTAATTGCACAACGCTAGCAGCCGCAGGCTAGCTCTACTTTTTTCCCATAATCCCACAGGCCCAGCATCAGTGTGCAGGTCTGAGCCTGGCCGTCGTACCGATAAAGCTCAGTGAGCGCCAGCGGAGGGCGCCGGCTCGCCGCTTGCAGTTGTCAGTAACGTGTCAATCCTCTGCCTCTGATTGGAGGGTTTAGGCGGGCTGCAGGGGGATGCAGCCGACCCCGACCCCCCCCTCATGGCAGACCATGGGCGCCATGAAGGTCCAGCGGTTGGTGTCGGGGTTGTACATCTCCACGGAGCTGAGGTTGGACTGTCCGTCATATCCGCCCACCGCGTACAGACGTCCAGACGTAGAGACCAGTGACACTCTGCTGCGCCGTGTGTTCATGGCCACCAGGAGGCTCCACTGCCCCGATGCTGCACTGAACACCTCCGCCCCACTCAGGAAACCCGAGCCATCGTAACCTCCTGCCACGTACATGTGACTGCCCAGAGCCGCCGCCCCATGTCGGCAACGCTTGTTCATCATCGGCTCCGCCTGGTGCCAACGGTTAGTGTGGTGGTTGTAGTACTCCATCTGCAGGACGGGAGGGGGAGTGCAACAAATACTACAGTTATATATTTTTAGTTTAAATACATTTACTCATTTATATTAAGATATCTTTATATACTACAGTAAACGTGTGTATCAGTGGCAGCTGCTGGTCTTTCAAACAGGGGAGGCTCACTTTAAGTTTACATCATAACATGTGTCATATTTTAGCGAGGCAGTAACTTATAAAAGGAACATTTAATTCAAGCTGTTTTTCAACCACACTCATGACATAGAACCACAGCAACACACACCTCAATGATTTTCAGATGGTTTAAACTCCTGAACTGTACAAACAGTGAAAATGAGCTATATGTTTTATGGAAACACTCTGTCAGAAGACAGGGGTCGCCAATGCCGGTGTGTATTTCCAAAGCGCTGTCAATCACAAAGGGGTTCAGCCTTTTAGACAATTCCTCCAATCATTATGCAGACACCAAGCGTCCTCTCCTGCCTACCGCTCCATTAGGTCCCAGGGAGGCTGAGCCTTTATCCAATGAGCATCTCTCTTTGCTGCATGAAAAAAACCTGCTCAGCGCTGTCTCA